CATGACGGATGTGGGTCGAGTGGCAACGAAGCATCGGTGCGACGTGCTGGCGTACGGCTGATGATCCATGACTGTGGAGTCCAATTTCGGGCAATCTCCACGATAAACAAAATAGTTCGTATCTGTTCAATTACCGTTGGGCAGAGGGTTGAGAAACAGAAGATACAAAGGATTCTTGGCCAGTCACTCACCACTAACGCACTTGTCGATGAATGTGCCACCTAAGTGTATATGACGGATATGAGGTGAGTAGAGCAGGATTGGCATGACCAGTTATGAGGCACGGAGAAAGCAGACTGAGACGAACAGAGAGAAAGATTAATTTGATGTGGGTGGATTGATGATTTAGAAAAGAGGACAGGACTGCATCTTCGCAAAACCAAAAACGTCGAAGTGAACGTTAAAGCACAATTGAAGTACCATCTCAGTACGTAGTCACGATTGGTGGGTGTTTACGGACAACGCCAACCTAATACTACCTGATCCCACGGGACCACAACCTTGGGCCCACACCAGTGAATGTGGCGGTCTGGCGTTTTGTCTCATTGCACAGACCAGCAGCGTTGTGCTCATGACGAGCATTATCGGCACCAATGGGTTCACAACCGGTAACTATGCAATGAAACGCATTTGCTGCGTATGGCGTTCCAAGGAGCCCCCGATAGACCAAATTGTGGGTGAATCGCTTGCCCGGTGTTTGGCACAAGGTGTTCCTTGTCGCAAGCGATTAGGTGGATATAGAAGGTCACTACAAGCTTAGCCCAAGCAACATGCAGTTTAATTCGATGCCATGTGAACGGAGTGCATCCCGTTTCCCTTAACGTGTATCTCAGTTAAAGGCCATCAATTGGGGATCGATGAATGCTTGCTCAAACAAGGTATGTGCCACGATGGAGGCAATCTAACCATCAATGTGTACCTTAGAACGCGATTTAACATAGATTAGAGATGCGTGCAGTTTGGAGTGAATTGCAACTCCATAGATGTATTAAATTGGACGTGTTATACATTTTATGAAATATTGCACACGGACTGTTCGCTAGAAGCCGATAAAATATGTACATATAGTCGATCCCGTCAGTTACGTTTAATCATTCGTCTTGTGCACGAGTTGGCACTGGCAAACCCCACTTCAGATAGCAAGTTGTGCACCTTGCAGGTGTTCATTTAAGGTTTTGACATTGTGCTTCGAACATCGTTATCATCACGTGCCGCTAACATCCGTAAACAGTGGAAGGCGCTTTACGGATGATGGACAAGATCCTACTGGCCTGATACTAGTGGAAAAGTGTGTCAAAGTTAAAACACTCTGGTTTGCCGTTGTTTCTTACTGCTTAATTTGGTACTATTAAACGTTTGCCGTTTACGTATATCCGCCTTCAAATGAATGCTTACGTCGCCTGATTCGCAGGCTATCGTAGGTTTTCAATGTGTGATCTTGCTTACTGTCCTGTTCTCTAATATGTCTTGGTACGGTTAGGTGATTTTGCGATATCCATGCACGGCCACGTGATCCCAGCAGGGCTGTCATAAGGGGATGTCACTATACGAAGCATTTGAAGTAGCGGTTGATTGTTAAGACAGCGCATGCACTGCTTACCGCATGCTGCACTTGCTGTATCTATTTTCCATTTTCTATGCTCCGACCGCGTCTTGCTACTCCTCACCAAACCATCGCGACACAAAATCCGTTTACCTGGATGTAGTCGCGTACTATAGGTATAGCGGTACTTCAACTGATTCTCTCTTCGACCGAATATTAGTGTCAACAAGTTAGCTGTACTGCGGCCGCTGAGGTTAAATGCATCACGGAAATGACAGTCGTCCTTGAAGGTCTCGGTTAACGTGCCAGCTAGAAATTTAAACGATCCGGGAGCAAATATCCAGTCGGCAAAAAGAATACCATGGGTTGCATGTGACTGGGGCCTTTGCATGTTGAGTGCTACTCACCGGCGCGTGGGTAGAGACTGCTTCGTGCAGGACATGACAGTTTAATTCTGCAAAGCGACAGAAGCATTTTCGACGCAGCATGCCTCGCATTCCGCAATCTATTACTCAGTGATGTGTCTGTATGTTACTTAGCACAGACTGTCTAGATGGTTGTGGATGGAGATACTGAAGCATAACTGTGGAGTGTACAGTATGGAGGCGTAGTTGTAACGCGTGGCTAAGCAAAAGTAGACACAAGACTATCAGCTAGAGGAAGAGAAGAAGCGATATAGGGAAACGGGTGTGTTCATGATGAGTCTGTTTTGTTGAGTTTCAGTTGTTAACTGCAAGATACAAAAAGACCCATGACTTTTCACTTGTCTTACAAATACATGAATGTACCACCAGAGTCAAACACGCTCAATTAAAGCGACAAAAAGATGAAGAACATACAACCCTACGGACAAGTTGCAAAGCTAGGGAGCATGGCAAAATACTGCATCGCAGAACCATTCACCGCTCTCCTCTGAGTGCCGAAACTGTTGATGCTTAGGATACTCCACGACCCAGCTAAAATCTGTTAGGCATTTAGCGACTTTTTTGCCACTACCATGAGTCGCGAAGCTGACCCAGTGCGTGTGTGCACAGATCTCACAGAAATAAACCTCTTAAGCACAGTTGATTCTCGCTCAACGCTATCCATCAAGTTATCAAATCAATCAGGCCATCTTACAAGCTGGGATCTGATGGCATTTCACCAACCACCATTAAACTAGGAGGACCTGATATACACCATTGCTACTGATGAGCATGTTCACTCTATCACTGGGACCTGGCCACTTTTCAGACCAATGGAAAACGTCATTTATTATGCTTCGGCATAAAGGAGGTCCCAAACAAACGATTGATAACTACCGACCAATCCACCACACTCGGATAATGGCTCGGCTATTTGAAAAGCTGGTCAGAAAGGAGATGATGAACTTTGTTGATTCCATTGACCTGATCAACAATTCGCAGCATGGTTCTCTCAATAAGCGATCGTGCACCACCTGTCAACTGATTACCTTAATCACATTTCAGAATCAATCGATTCCGGCTATGCAGTAGTAATCTTGTTTCTTGACATAAACCAAGCGTTCAACCGCGTACCGCACAAGCGACTGTTACAAAAGTTGGAGAACTTTGGGATCCGGGACCCATTACTAGGTTGGCTATCGTCATACCTGAATGGTCGCCATCAGGTAGTCACTTTACGTGATTATCGCTCTTCCCCACGCTCAATCACCAGTGGAGGCATTCAAGGGAGCGTGATCGGCCCCTTACTCTTTTTGCTCTACATCAATGACTTTATTACATCTGTAAAACATGGTACGCCATTTTTATTTGCTGACGATATCAAACTAGTCTATAAGTTTCGGAACCAATTTCACGGGACATTACTGCTCATTCAAGATGACTTACATTCCCTTGAGTCATGGTGCTGCACATGGGTGATAAACCACACGGCTAAAAAATCAAGAAACATGTCTTACGGCTGCTGCATCCCCGAAGGATCTATCACTCTAAACGATGAACGCGTCCCTACAGAGTTGTGCACGCGAGATTTGGCATTAGGGAACTACAAGTTCTCCGAACAGGCCCAATACCAAGTAGCACGTGCCAGACAGTCTATGTACAATATAACAAACAAAATACACAAAACTCGTGCTAGAGTTGAGCTTTCCAAGCTACTCACTCGCCCCATCCTCGAATACTGCAGCATAATATATGTAAATATGAGAGAGTGATAGAATGGCTGTGGAACACCTGCAGAGGTCACTTACTAAACATGTGATTGGTAAGTACTCTACAATGAGTAATCGAGAGCGTTGCAATGAATTTCAGCTCGAACCACTTTGGATTCGACGATTGAAGCACAACTTGTTGCTGCTTTTCAACATGCTACACAAAAAGACCTATTCCAACCTGTCTACACTCAATTTACAGCATTGCTCAACTCGAGCGCTTCGCAACAAAGATTTTATATTGAATATACCGAAGGTTAGAATGAACGTCCGCTCTGTTTTCTTCCTGATCAGATACAGCTATCTGTGGAATAAGCTACCAATAACACTCAGGTCATGTGACAAGGTGGCAACATTTAGTAGCAGATTCGCCAATTACTTTGATCTAGCTACCCTAAGCTCTATATTCACATGGGAAAAATCCCTCGATGAACTATTCCAAGAGGGGCCCAAAAACATATAAACACCAATCTATTCATACCTAGGCTTTGGCCTCAACCATCCACCAGAATGTTAATACATGAAATGCATATCCTAATACTCCAGTAATGCATATCACCTATACAAGAGCATGGATTTTGCTGTACAAATGGATCTGTCCCGCTATAGACACAGTTTCTCTCATCAGGAGAAATAAACCTATTATTATTATAATTATTAAACGAAGTAACTAAAAACGACCGTAAGATGGAAACGTGCCTTGCAAACCGTCTGGAAAACAGTACCTTTCCAGGATTACCAACAACTCGGAATTTACGTCCAATGTGTGAAAGACTTAACAAGGTTGCACTTCTATGATACGCTCTCGAGTCATGGAGGACAGCTGTTCAATTGGTGGTCTGAGCGGCCCGAGCCACCAGAGATTTACCGGACGGATTGCATGGTCGCTGCAACAATTCAGAGCCTAATAATAATAATGATGTGTCAGCTGTACGCCGTAACGGCGCTTCGCTGCCGCGCGACCACCACCAGTCGCGCGCGGGCTGAGTATACCGCGAGGACGCCCACCCCTACGCGGATTCGAACCGGTGACCTTATGGTTGCAAAGCAAACGTGCAGACCACTCGGCCACCGGCCTAGGCTAGCGTGAACAGTTTCAATGGCCAAATTTCTCTCGTGTCGTTGTATGCTTGCGTCATCCTATGTCAACAATCGCTTGTATCCTGGATCAGATAAGTCGCGTGGACACCCGAAAAACCTAGCGTAGAAAGCAAAACACAGTAGGACAGCGGAACAAGAATCAAACAACGCCAAAATGAGCGTGCGAAAAAGTGTGAAACTTACTCATCCGAACCGGGCCGGGTTGTTTCACTGGTACTAGCCGGTATTTCAGCCTAAGAAAGAGGAAAGAAAAGCCATTCGATGATATTCTAGTAGAAGCGACAATCTCACGAAAACAAAACTGCGCCACAGGTGAGTGAAGGATATCACCCAAGATAAGACAGGCACGCTGCTAGAGGATAATTAGTATAGCATGACTTAGGCAAGTGGATGGAGTGTGGAGCATGTGTGCCGTGGGCTAATGACACAATCACAAACGTCATATCAAGCGAACAAATAACAAACGCAATTAGCGACTGTGAAACAATAAGTTCGATCAAGATTCCAGACAAGAAGGTCAGCAGATGTAATTTGTGAGACGTCGCCGTTTGGTGCATTTTTATCAATAAAAAACATGGAATAGTGACAGATAAGCCAATACAATGCAATACGACATCGTAGATGGCTAACGCTTGCGCCACCATGGCAGGTTTAGAACCAGCCTGCTGTTTTTGAAGGAATTACGGTGGGCGTTCGCGATAAATAACGACTGCTTCCAGCAGACTAACAATTTGGGGTCATTGATCGCGCATTAGGACGACAAACGACTCACCAGGATCGACTCGGTGAGCAGTGATTAGCAAGTGTTTTGTAACTGCCGAGGCAGCTCGGTTTTCGAATGCAACGGATTCCGTTGTCACAGATCCCGTGAGACTGCATAAACACTTCTAAAGTAAAGAGTGAGGATATGTGTGGAAAATTACAAAACAAATCTCCCCTTCTGCTTCAGGTTCCAAACAGTTGGAGGAGATTTAGATGGTAGCCAGTAAGATTGAGTGTTGTTACCTACTGATACATCTTGGCTTGCAGCACAAAATTAAGCAACTAATACGTTGAGAAGAGAAGCAAAACTCCTCTCACAGAAATGCACCTTGAATTGTTGGTGCAAATGATGGCTCCACCGCCACAGTTACGGTAAACGCAAGGGCGATCGACACGAGACATTTGAACTCTTCTACCCATACAAATACGTCATCCATCTCGTCATGAAGCCATGTCAAAATGATGCCTAGCTGCGAAGATATTCAAAGGTTGATAGTACGCGACAATCATCCATTTTCGACAAAAGTGAACAAGTGTTTGAGGCAAGATGGGTATGCACATGTTTCCCAATGTACTCTTCCGAAGAGCAACGTTCCATCCAGCGAGGTGTCCTTTTGCACAATTATTGCGCCACTTGTAGATTCGTTTCAGTTTATTTCTCCTAAGGTGGCCGTTGGAGAAAGCACAGCTTGTGAGCGCGGAAACACAGCGATCTCAAAATGTTGCGCGTACAGGTCAACATGATTCAAACGGTAGCCGGGTGAAATGTAGAAAAATGATAGTTTTTATAAAGCCAAAAGCGTGTGTTAATATTTCTACGGAAAGGAATAACAGAGCATGGCCAAAGTTGAAGGCACCAACTTTGTCACAGCAGTATAGACCCAAAATTCGACTGATAGACTGATATCCCGTCATCTCCATATATAGCTTAGCCTCTAAAGAGCCACACAACCTTAGCTGATACACGAAGTAACCTTTTCGGTGATGTGACCACCAGAAATGACACGTGATACGTGAACCGGCTAATGACCTGCAGTGGTTGTTCGGTGACAGCAGGTACCGGTGGAGTGTCTATCGTCCAAATCCCGTAGCAAAGTATTCACCTTGAAAGTGCAACGCAAACGCCGAACCTTGTAGTTCTAGGTATCAGCCAAATCACCAGTGTTTGGATAGCTAACGGGTATGACCGAATGACAACCACAAGTCCGCATCAGACAACGCGGGTGCCATGATTCATAATAACGTGCGCTGTATGGCTCGATGGGTGGAGCGTCTTCGACAGCAGTTCAGTTGGTCCTCTGTTCCCGGACCACCCCGTACTCAGGGATACAGGATGAGCCATGGCCGAATAGTTTAGAGGATTGGTCGGAGACGAAGGTCCAACACGCAACCGCAGCTCTTAATAGTTTTTGAGACACTGGCCCGGATTCCCTGCCACATGCACAATTAAATGATACTGGTCAGGTCCTCTGCAAAGCCATGACTTCCCTACTGGAACATGTATGTAAGAAAGAAACCATGCCAATGAAACGATTATAGTGGCGATGTGTAAGTAGGGCAGTCACCCTGACTGTGCTAATTACAGGGTTAGTAGCCTAACGCCGATGCTGAAAAAAGTACTGGTCCCAATTCTTGCTCGTCGCTACAATGCGGAAAAGGAATCTTGGATTAGGGAAGAGCAGCCAAGTTTCCGCCCAGAATGGGGCTATATAGGACACGTATTAACTCTGTGCCAGGTACTACAGCAGCACTACACGTAACGTAGACCGATAATAGCCGTGTTCCTCGACTTCAAGAGTGCATTCAAGTCAGTTTACCGATTCATTCTGTCCTGGATACTGAAAATGGACGGCTAGTAGATATGCACCTGCGTTGCTCAATCACAGTTAGTTAGGGTACATGCACGGAGTGATGTCACTGATTCCTGCGCGTGTGATGCATATTCCAGCTGTGCAGAAAGGTGATCACATGAAATATGTGAACATTTTACACGCCCTGTACTTCAACACCACAGGCCGCGTCAGGGTTTATGGTGACCTGTCGGATATCTTCCCGACAACATGTGGCATTCGACAGGATTGCCTAGTTTGCCCATTTTGTTCAATTTTGTCGTGTACTCCATCATGCAGTGTTCCTTTGCGGAGCCCGGCGATGCAGGCGTAGAGGTGCTGCCTGGATGAAAGCTAGTGGTCTTGATTACACAAATGATCTTGTCTTGTAGCTTAACGACGTTTATGCGGTCTAATCAACTCTGAATAAGCTCTCTAGAGTGATTCCATCATTTGGAATAAGCTTCGCATCTTTAAATTGCAAAGTGTTATTGATGGAGTAGAAGCCATTTGACGACCTCAGCAATTGATAGCGAGGATCTCGAGATGGTTGATCGATGCACTTGGGCAGCTGAATCAGTAAAGATGAGTAGTGAAGCAGGTTCACGTATTGCAAAAACCAGAACTGCCTTCATAAATCTGCGACATCTCTGGCGGCAGAAAGAGGTTACTCTCGGCCAGAAAGGCTGTGTTTAAAAGGCTACAGTGAGTGCCGTACTACTCTATGGTAGTGAAACTTGGCCTGTTCGATCTGAGGCGCCTTCACATCTTTGATCATCGTTGTCTGCGGAGCATTGCTGTTGTCGGATGGCAACAGAGTGTCCACCACGATGATGTGTGTTAGGCAAGTACTAGGCAGTGATAACCAGGCTAGTTCCTTGGAACAGATAGCACTGAATAGGTTGCGTTGACTTGGGCACGTAGTACATATGCCCTGCCGCCGCTTACCGAGGACGGCATTGTTTTGTTTGCCAGAAGTAGCGTGGCGCAAGGAGGTGAGCAAAAGCTAATTTGGCAGAGGAAATGAAGCAATTGACGACCAAACACGGTGCCGTCGGTCCGAATCGCCTTCCAGCCTGGAGTCCACGTGACCCGCCTTGGGCCTGGTTCGAGACGTTACAAGACATAACATGCAGTCGACACCCGTGGCGTGTTTAATGCCAAATCTCAGTCAGACTGTCTGTTTAATGTGCGCTTGGTGCTGAATTGTCTGTGGGACAATGGCTAATTATAACGCGAGGTAGTGAAAACCACAAGGAAGTTGTTTTGCTTTATCTATACACGATACCGCTTTATCTATACACGATAAGATAGCGGTTTGTGACGGTATGTTGTCGACATGAATGTTTAGGGCATTAGCGCTTTACGATAGGTCCCCCTTCTCTCCCTTCTAACATTCCGTGTTCCGTATGTCACCGTGATGGTACGGCAGCAAAGCATCAGTTCAAATGGCTGATGCACTCCTGTTGTCGACGGAATACACAGAACCTCTATTTTGGAAGAGGCTGAAATAAAGGAGTCACGCATGATTTGCTGAATCACAGATATGAAAAGGAAGGGTGATACAGGACAATTACAGATAACTTCACTTGTCCTGAGGAATTCCGGAGATTGCTTTCCGTAGGCACTCATTCGGCCTCGGGAGTTACGGTACATAAATATACAGTAAAACCTAAGTAGATGACTGGCTATTTTTCCGATGCTTGAACGTTCACGACATAAGGCTTATGGATCCAGACCTCTACATGTTGACCTTCGCTCGATGCTGACCAGTCCCTTGAGTGGCCAACTTAAGGAGAATTTGTTATGAATAAATAAATAGTATATTCGACGGTGCGAGGTACAGTTCCACTGAATGGAGTATTCACAGGAACGCCTTCCAATAAAACAGTTACACAAGCTAGATCGATCGTCAAAGTCGAAGGCGGATTTCAGGACAAGGAAAATCACCATAGTCTGTCGTCTGTATGTGAGTCTGCTCCAATAGTTAATAAATAGTGAATGCGTGGTCAATACAGCCACAACCAGAACGAAAGTCAATCTGGCTCACAAGAGAATCGCTACACCGCCGAAGCATGATACCCGTGGACAGTTTGGATACGCGGAAAATAAGATTAATGCAATCATGATTTTCTTATGATGTCTTTTGACCCTTTTCAAGGAGTTGGAAGACAGTTGACAAATGCCAGTCTGAAGGCAACTCTTCAGTAAGCTAAACTGTGTGGAACACGACAGCAAATCTAGTCAACAACAAGTCGGTTCCATCTTCCAGCAAATGTGGAGGAAAGTTGTCGGATCCGGAATCCCTGTTTGGTTTCAACATAGGGAATTCATGTTGAGTCTATCCCCAAGTTCGAGGTATGACATTAACTTACCGTGTGGGTTAAGGTGATTCAGAAAGTAGTAGTATCGAATCAGACCTGTTCAATTGCCCTTCAAAATGTTACGTCCAATGGGCTAGTTGATGCGGCCGAAGATGGATCAACTGTCCATCTTTCTCAGCCATAGTCACACTTGTTGAGGTCATTTTTGGACATCTGTTCTGGGTGTAGTGGAATAATGCTCGGTTGTCCCCAACAGCACTAACCAACTGCATCTCACGGACGTTGGCCGCCAATCAGCATTCCAGATCAATTCGAAGA